CTATGAAGTATTTAACATAACCTAAAGTAATAAATTAAGTACCTTTACTAACATTAATAGTCTTTAATAAGAATATTAAGAAGGAGGAAATTTTTTGTTTTAATATCTATGTCATTATCTCGCTTAGTAAATGAACTTTAAAAAGATACCATATTTGAGCATATCAATTACGTATTAATTATTATCTTATTAAAAAAGAAATCTGCTTATAAAATTGATAAAAGGCATTACGTTATTAAAAGCAAACAATAAATTAACTGCACTAATTTAATGTAAATATTGACATTTGTGTGTAATGAAAAAAAAAATACGGAAGATTACTCTTCCATGAAGTTATCCACATATCATACGTAATTAAGCATTTAGTGAAATTTTACAATTAATTATTTAAAATTAATTATATTTGCGGATACACATCTGCACATCATAATGCGCTTTTAATTATTATTGTCAAATAGATTTCAACTTTTCTGTTGTTGCCACATTTTTTTTTACAATTTTCCGAATATTATTGAATTTAGTCAGGATTAAATCGTTTAATATGTTTTATGGGCTTAAAATTTAATCCGCTATTTTTTAAGGAAATGTAATTATGATTTAAAGTTTTTAAATGGATTTCATGACACCTACATCATGCATTTTATCAGCTTATCAGCAATGCAATAATTAATAATTTAAACTATATTTAATGCAACCAGAATGTATTTGTTAACTACAAATTTTTAATAAAATGTTTTGTAATAAAGTTTTTAATTATTTTGTAATTTTAATACAACACTAAAATATTAAAATTTTAACTACAAAAAAAATTATAATTTGATACATTATATATTTTCTTTATTTAATTCTTTGTTCACAGATACTATTAACTGTTTATTCTATTCATAGAGACGGTGATTCAACTATCTACTTCAGTTAGCCTAGAGTTAACTTAATACCCGTCGCATACAAAGTCTTTTCAACATACTATAGGAATTAAAGAAGTAATTTCCCAACTCAGATCATTATAAATCAGATCAATACACTCAGCATTGAAGTCATTACTGATTATAAGCCAGCAACTGAAAGAGCAGACCTAAAACTTGTCATCCATGCAAGGCTGATACACTTCTACACAATGTCGTTGAGAAGTTTGTGCTACCAAATTATTTAGAATTAATTTAATTGCGTAAGAATTTATTAATAAGAATTCATTTAAAAATTAAAAATTAATCTTCTCTGATCTTTGAAAGGCATCTATGCAGTATCTATACGTCTATGCAGTGCAGTACAAAACTTGATCATAATGGCACAATATTGTACAATACTTCCAGATTAGGTATAGCAACGTTATATTTATGTTGTTTTTCTTGTTATCGAATTGAAATCTTCTGAAATGGATTTTAAAGAGAAATATGTCACAGTGACATTTGCCGGTATCCAGCAACCGAAGGCAATGTGCCTTTTAAAGAGAAGGATGTCACAGTGACATTTGCCGGTAGCCATCAACCGAAGGAAATGTGCCTTTCTCACCGCATTTGCAATAAACAATGAATTTTTAATATACTAGGAAAAACGAAGAACTCTGGAGGCCAACTTACCAAACGTCTATTAATGTTGAAATTCAAAAGCGAAAATATGTGTGGATAGGCCACACCCTGCGTAAGCCTTATGATGATATCTCGCACGCAGCGCTAACATGGAATCTCCAGTGAACCTAGCGTAGAGGCAGACCAGCGACAACATGGCAAAGAACAATTAATACTGAAACTCGCAAATCGTTTAATGAACTTCGACAAATTAGAGATAGTTGGGTTCACAAAATAGAGATAGTTGGAAATCATATGTTGTATCCTTAAGCTCCAAATGGAGTATGGGATAATATAATAAGAAAAATGTCTAATTTTGTAAAAAAAACTTGATAAACTTGAATATTTAAATACGAAAAAACATGATTACTACAATTCCTCAGTAATAGCATTTCTGATATAAATATTTTTTCTTGTGCTGAGGCGCCAATCGCACATTTTTACCATTTTAAAAAGTTTAACAAATAATTTATAACATTAAACTAACTGCATTTTATGTAATATTCCGAGATGACATTTCATTAATCAGTGTCACAATTTAAAATTTTTATTTTTAAACCTCAAATGAAAATTTGCTACAAAAACTTGTTAAAGGATAAAATACCAATCGCTTTAGCAATGTCATTATTGAAAAATTAATTTCAGCACATCAACTATTTTCACATTTATTGTATATAAAAGTGTCAGTATTATATGAAAAAAAAAAAATGTTTTAAATAAAGTAGTCTTTTTAAAAATATAAAATAGCTTTTTAGCTTTTAAATGTGCTCTTAAATTATATAGATTGAATTTTATAATAAAATATATAAGTGATTTTAACATTCATTGCGACAGGTAAAATATTTTCAAAACTAAACAGAATATTCATTTAATTGTTAAGTATTGACTATTTAATTTTAATTTGATTTAATATTAATTCGTAATTGAAATCTTATATTTGAATACTCCAGCTTCCCTTCCAAATTTCTGCTCAGTACAAGATCTATGTAGCTAGGAATGCAACTATTTGCAGAGAAACATTCAAAAATTTAACTAACATCACTTAAAGTTATGAAAATATGGACCTATCCACACTTAATATGGTTTATTGATATATATTATAAAGAGGTTTTTCGAAGAGTAGTGAACTACAACAACAAAAATTCCTTTTTATATTATTTTAATTGAATGAATTTTTGGTCTTGCAGTCAGCATTTTTAATATTTAGTTACTCGTAAATAATTTTTTGCAACTGCAAATACCAAGAATCGAACTCGTGCCCTGCCAAATCTGAAGCTTAGAATCAGCACTCATTAACAAACTAACCCAAAGCATTTTATGACTTTTATATTGTTATGTATTTATATTTATATACATATTTATATTTAAGTTGTACTAAGAGTGCAACTGTTTAACGAATAAACATGATTTAGTATAGTGTAACGTTAGTAAAAGTGCTCGTAAATATCTTTATGTTAAGTTAAAGTGTTCTTAAAGATACTTCAAAGAAAAGTATACATTTTATAAGTAAATAAATGATAAACATCAACTATTTTTTTGAGTTTTTTAAATGTTTTGTATTTATGACAAAATAATTTAAGTTTCAATATAATTCACAATTCAATCCTATTCAATGACAATGAAGTGGACTAAAGCACTAAATTATTATTACTGTAGTAATATTACTGTACACAAAACATCACGTTTTTAAATAATTAGTAAAATTCGAAAAGTGTTCTATGTTTGATGAATTAATCAAGCTTATTAAAAATCAACTGATTATTTTTCTAAAATTTCCATAAAGTAAAAACTTATATCACATGTACCCGACTTCTTAGGGGACGTGATACTTACGATTATTTATCTAAGCATAGTAGCCTTAAAACAGCACTAAAAAATATAATAACAGTAGCAGCAGCAAATATGGTGATATATAGTATTTAAAAATTAAACAAATATTGTGAGAGCGGACGAAATACTTAGTACACAATCAGATTGAAAATACGCTTAGTGGTCTTCTAATTTGTCCTGTAAAAGAATACTTTAACTCGTCGTACTACAGGGATTTCCAGAATTTTGAGCTGAGAATATGTGGACTTTTTAGCTCGTAGGCATGTAGTATACGACTCAATTGAGTCGTGCATGAATCGGGCATGAAAATGGTACGGTCCATTTGTACCTTTAGAAGAATTTTCCTCCAAGTTCGATATTAAAAAAAAAACAACCGTTTCATTACGGTTATCATTTAATTGTAATTTAGTGTTAATTTAGCTATATATGTTGCAATAAAATGTTATGGCAAAACAAATCAAAGACTAAATAAATCAGTACCTTGTATACTATCGATTAATGAATAAACGCTTAACTTGTAGAGTATCATTTAATACAGAATGTTTTATAGCTTTTTTCGGAAACCACAACAGAAATTATATCTATAAATTAAAGAATGTCTCAAATTGTTATGTATATTTTACCTCGACAGAAAATATATTTGAAAGTGAGATCAATTATTAGTACTGTTTCACGAACTTATTGAGCAAACTGAGAGGATTGCTGTGGTAGAAATAATAAAAATCATAGTTTGTTTGTAAAAAATATTTGAGAACACCATATCTGATCATTTCGATAATGATTATCATATCGACCTTATTGAGTTTGTTGTAAAAAATATTCAGGAAATCCATATCTGAAAATTTCGATAATGACAGTCATCGACCTTATTGAGCAATCTGGGAGAATTGCTGTGATAGAAATGATAAAAGTTACATTATGTTGCAAAAAATATTTGAGGAAAGCATATCTGATAATTTCGATAATGATAATCATTGACCATATTGAGTTTATTGTAAAAAATATTAAGGAACCTTATTAAGCTATTTGGGAGAATTGCTGTTATAGAAATGATAAAAATTACAGTTTGTTTGTAAAAAATATAGGAGAAATCCATGTCCGAAAATTTCGATAATGATAGTCATCGACCTTATTGAGCAATCTGGGAGAATTGCTGTGATAGAAATGATAAAACTTAAATTTTGTTGTAAGAAATATTTGAGGAACCATATCTGCTTATTTGTAATAATATCTGAAACAAATGTATGATCGATATGTATTTCTGTCATATGACATACAATTTTTCACTAAATAATATCTAAAATTAAATTTATCAATAGTAGACATTAATATTGATAGAAAACATAAGAGCTATATAGCTACTATGTAGTTTTGTAATCAAAAGATTAATTGCAATATCCTTTTGCTTGCGTTATAAAATTTGGCAATAAATTATTATTTTTAATTAAAAATTCTCATGAAAATATAACAAAAGATGGAGGGGAAAAAAAAGGAAAGGAAAAATATTGTATAAAATTTATATAATAATAAACATATAAGTGTAGTTGGGGGAAAACTTTAATTCTCAGCTTAGCTTAACATAAATACTAAATTAATACTTACCAGCGCCGTCACGCCACTCTTCAACCCCATAATCAGGTAAAGCATTCGAGTCGATTTTATTATTGCGACGTTTGCCATCTTTAAGTTATTTAATTTGATTTATTTAATTTTTATTTTAATTTTTATTGAAATTTTTATTTTAATTTTGATTTTTTTTATGCATTTTATTCAGTTTATTTAGTAATTTTAATGGTTTCAGTACAATTTGCAAGGCACCGCCAGTCCAACAAAGGTACAACATTATAGTACAACGAAATGTAAGAGACGCACACACAGGGATGTTTGGTAGTTGTGGTAGTGGTGGTGGTGGTGGTGGTGGTAGTGGTGGTGGTGTGTGACGTATGTACACAAAATGAACGATTTTACGTAAAATGGCGTAATAAGAAGATTTACGAGTATATAGAAAAAAAGAACAAGAAAACAAACATAAATAAATACACGAATTATATGAAATAAAATCTAAAAAAAAAAAGGAAACTAAAAGAAAACTGTTTACTTTTTATGTTACTTATTTTTATTTTATTTTTTTTTTTTTAAATTATAATTTAGTTAAAAAAGGCAGGACAAAAAATGTGGTAACATAAGACTAGAAATGCTTGAGCAATAGCAAAAATGCACTGGAAAAAAGTATTTAGAGGATATATAAAAACTAACAAAAAAAAGAAAAGAAAAATAAAAAAAAAATAAATAAATTTAAAAAAGAAAAAGAAAAAGAAAATGAAAATAACAAACAAACATGCAAAGTGTAAAGAAGTAGGTAAGGAAAGTGCTCGACTGCAACGGCTTTGGTGCTGCAAAGATGGTGCTTTCGCTGATTGCAATAATAATAATAAAACTAGTAATGATGATTATGGCAATGACGATGGCGATGGCGATGGCGATGGCGATGGCGATAGTGATGGTGATGGTGAAGGTGATGGCAATGGCGAATACGAAAGATATGACGATAAACATAATGATGTTAATTATGACCATTGCATTGAAAATAACTCTAATGTTCTTAACGTGCACATTAATGATATAATTTCGGTTGATGATGTTAATATTATTGTTCATTATAATTTCATTAAAAATATTTAAGATTTATTTAAAGTTTTTCAATGTTTTGTATATTTCATTTTTGTATTTTATATTTTTATTCCATACTTTTGGTATCGTTTCGCAAATACATTTGACCGAAGAACAAATTCCCATAGAAAGCACCTGTAGTCAATATTGTGAAGAGACCACTACACACTAACTTTTCGGCAATAAGCTCAATTTCGCATGAAAAATAGCGGAAAATGCACTTCAGATAACTTTGCCAGAAGCCAGGTGAATTCAGTAAAGTTTATTGCGTAGAAGGACCCTTACTTTTACAATTTTCAAGAAACGAAATCATTTGCGAACTGCATGCATCTTGGTAGTAAACAAATTACACGGTTGAGTTTAGCTCTCATATAGCCCTTATTCGCAACTAGTCCTTATTTACATATTTCAACAATAAAAAGCATTTAATATAAATATTTACCTTCTGCTCTTTTGTTTTTCCACGAAATATTTTTTAATAATCGCATTAATACAAAAGTTTTTAAACTGCAATTTAGCAGAGTCTAAAACTTAAAAGATTTGTAAAGGTAAAACATTTGTTTGGCTTAATGTTCTGATAAGAATTTAAATACAACAACTTTAAAGAATTATTTTAAGATTGTAGATAAAATTTTATGGTGTAATAATCTGATGCTTATATTCTATTTATTACATTACCATTGGTCACTATTTGACACTCAAACTATGATACATAGTTAGTTAGTTAAAGTAGAGGGAAGCAACGAATTCTCTTAAATTAGCTAAGAAAATCGTTTTTGAATCCACAATTCCTCGCCACAGTGGGTAGAAAAAGGGTGAACAAGGAGAAAGATGGAGAGTCTGGCCAGTACTAATACTAGAGATATGGCTAAGCCTAGTTCTGGCCAGACCTGCACATAGAGGCAACAGGTGCTCTAATGTCCTTACTTCGAGAGTTGGTAGATATGCATTACAGGAGATACTATAGAGTAGGCCGAGTCTATCTTCATGCCGTCCTATGGTCCAGTGCCCTGTAAAGACAGATATTAACCTAGATATCTCTTATTTGCTTTGGAATAGATTGGCCATGTACTCCTTGATCTGATTGCTGAGATAGCATGAAATCTCTCACTTTTAACTTATCGCAAAAAATGGTCGTAAATCAACCTTAGATTATAGCTAGCAGGGGCAGTGATTGAAAAAGATGACGAAGATTTCTGCATTTTTTTTGTTATCGCATTAATTCTAAGAATTGAAATAGTGACAAAAGCTCATTATAATTACCTTGTAGAAATGAATTGTTTTAGTGAGCGAATTGCGGAAACCAGACTCAGAAATGGTGAGGTCTGTTTAATGGGTGAGAGGTTAAATTATTCCCTCTTGTCATACTTATAGTGAAAGGCGGTTACTCGAAATGCAGAAGGTACTAACCAATAGTTTGGAGTATAAATCGTAGTGAGCTGCATTTTTCAATGGGTTGCTGTGCCCCAAGTAACTGCAGAGCTGATAGATAAGCCATCCTTCCTTCTCTATCTTAAATGGATAGAGCTTGTGCTGCACCCTGACGTTTTGTTTTTAGTTCGTATTGATAACACAGCGTTACGTCACTAGTTTCAATAGTTAGATCAATGCCTTCACGACACTTGTGTAATACAGAACTCAACAGTCATTTTCGTTATCCATCCATCCGTTCTTAGGATTCAACGCGCACAGATTTCACGTTTGACTTAAATTCAGATTTGAGACCCACAACGTTTGCTTTGTTGAATTCTTTTAACTTTCTTGATATTTTCTATATTGTAACTGATTTTTAGTTGGGGTGCTGACTCATCATCGCAACGATTTGAGCAGTGCTAATGAAATCGGCTGAACTAACAGAATATGGTATGTAATATTGACCCAGTGTTGACTCAGTCGTTGCTGTTTTGTCGATTGGAGTGTACAAAGTGGCATTATATTTTATTAAAAATTTTTATATTGTAACTGATAAACGCAGTCCTGATCAATGTGAATGGACAGAAAAACCCTTGTCTCCGTGCCCAATGCTTAATCAAAATTTTTTTCCAGTTCTCGTTTTCAAATTTCAAATTTACACTAGAAACTAAAACAATTTTATATTTGACGTGATTATAATTATCGGCACGAGATATATATAACTTCTTTTATCGTTAACTCATAGATGTCGCTTCGCTAAGTTTTTTTGTGATACAGTAGGACCCCGCTCAACGCTGTTTCGGTTTAGAAAATTGGTAACACAAAATAGACTGAATAATCTGATTGACTTAGAATTTCATTTGTTTTTATATATAATAGTTTATATTGTTTTTATTTTTATAAGATATAAATGTTTGGTTTTAATTTTTTAAAAAAAAAAACATAATTATTAAATTAAATACCTAACCAATTTTCTATCAGTCTTCCTCTAACTCCATTATTTACATGTTAAGATAGCCTCATTTAAGATAGCCTCCAGCTCTATTTTGCTGGAACGTATCTGTGCGTTAAGCGGGGTCTTTCTGTACCGTAGAAACTATAAGAGTGAGCTGATTTACGTTAGCCTGTGTAATTTTGATATTGACAAGAGGGAATTTTTTAGATGTGTACTATATCATATAACGAAGACTTTTTCAAATCTAAGCATTTTTAGAAAATAACATAATTAATAAGAAAACACATGTATAATTGATATGATTTTTTTTTTAAAAATGCTTTTGTGAATATGTAAAAATTTTCTTAATATCTTAAGCGTGCAAAATGTATCTGAAGCGATTAAATAGATATTTATCTTGTTTCGGTTTTTTATATAATAGTTTCTTTAATTATTATTTAAAATATTATAATTTACGCTGTTTTGGGGTTGAATGAGTGGTGATTTCAACTAAAAATACTTATTTATAAAGACTAATGATTAACTTAAAGCTTTTTAAATCAAAACATTATATATAAGCACAAAGAAACATTTTTCTCCATTTTATTCGATTTTCTATGCAATCTTTATGTGGAAGTTTTCCAACTTTTAACACCAAGAAATGAAAATCAATGGTAAAAATTTAATTAAGATAAATTCAATATCGCTGCGAACTCCGGCAAACATTTTTCTTTGTGCTTAAGTAAGGCAAACACAATAGGGAAAACTTTAAAACAGCAAACGAAAACTTAAAATATTACACAGCAAAATTAAAAAAGGTAAATAAATAGCAGCAAACATCATAAAAGTACAATGTAAATAGAAAAGTAAATAGCAGGAAAGTTGTGGAACAAAATACAAAAGAACCAAATCCGAGAAGAGGAACCTCTACGATAAAAACTGAAAACGTAAAACATTTAAAATGACTTTTATTGTGTTTCGTACCTAAACTTCGATTTACTACTTCCTCTTCGATTGAAATGGCGCTTTTCGGTGCGGGCAGTTCTGTAACGAAAAAAGAATTGTTAAGATATTTTCGAATGCAACAGCAAAAGTCAAATACATATAAAATAGGAATTAAATTTTAAAAAGTAGCACAAGGAACAACAGAAATAATTCGTAGGATTACGCAAAAGAGCAATAAAATTCCGCATCGGCAATCGAACTGCAATTAAGACAGTCAGGAGCAACAATGCTGAGATACTCGGATTTATCACAGATAAACCATATTGTAGGAAAGCAAAGATATAAGCTTTGGCTTTGCCGGAGCTTAGATACTCTTCACACAGAAATTTAAAACTACTCTTATTCATATGATTATATTATATAGTTTATATATATTATTACAATTATATATATATTACTATTATATAGTAAATAATAACACATAATTAAAAAAAATTATATATAAAAACATATATGTAATATAACACATGATAAATGAAATTATTGTATCTGTGATAATTTCATGAACGATATAATTATTATTTGTTATAATTATTTATTATTAAGATTATCGGATTTATCACAGATAAAGCATATTGCAAGAAAGTGAAGATATAAGCTTTGACTTTGCTGGAGCTTAGATGCTCATCACAGAGAGATTTCTAACCACATTGAGATCTTATTCATATGATTATATTATATATTTATTATATAGTTTATATATATTATTACCATTATATATATATTACTATTATATAGTATATAATAACACATAATTAAAAAAAATTATATATAAAAACATATATGTAATATAACACATGATAAATGAAATTATTATATCTGTGATAATTTCATAAACGATATAATTATTATTTGTTATAATTATTTATTATTAAGATACTCGGATTTATCACAGATAAAGCATATTGCATGAAAGTGAAGATATAAGCTTTGACTTTGCTGGAGCTTAGTTGCTCATCACAGAGAGATCTCAAACCACATTGAGATCTTATTCATATGATTATGTTATATATATACCATAGTAAATAATAACACATAATTAAAAAAAATTATATATAAAAAAATATATGTAATATAATACATGATAGATGAAATTATTATATATGTGATAATTTTATAAATAATATAATTATTATTTATTATATAAATTATTGACGTGAAATCGTCCAACAGCTGGTACTGCGGCCAGAAGAGCCCTATTGTACCAATTTCTCTATTTATTACACAAAGTCCTTTAAAGCGTTGTGAACAAAACCCTTTAAAGGTTTGTGAAAAAAGTCCAGAACTAAATCTGGAGAAGAGCTCTTAATTTGTACTGGTAATAGAAATTCTATAAGAAACAAGATTCTTCTGTGCATTGTTAAAGCTAGAGAGTCACAAAGCTCAACTTATATGCATAGTAGTTTTCTCATCTTGGAGGCATAACCTGCGTTCCGAATTGGCAGATAATCGTAATATATAATATAATAGTATTTTATATAAAATTTTTTTTTCATTCTTGCATTCCGTTGACTATTAAAGTGGAGAAGAAGCTTTTGGTGTGGTCAGTAACCATAATATAAAATAGAATGAATCTAGAGTATTATTTTGTAAGATAACTATATCCAAATCTAAACCAACTGATGTGATTTTTAACATGAATATTAAATTTTTAGTAAGATTCAAATTCATTAAAAAATAAATAGTCTGTTCAGTTAAAAAACATTTTGTAATAACTGTTTATTTACAAGGTCTTGTTCTTCTGAGTTGGCTCTGACAGACGTGAGTCGTTCTTAGTCGCGTCGAGCCAATATATAATATATATTTGACTCTATATCAAACTATATATAAATATAAACTGATCGGCATTATTTTTTTCACTGGTTCCATAGTAAAAAAAAATATGCCAAAGTTAAAAATTTGAAAAATATTCATTATGAAGTATAAACATTTTTTTAACAAAAGCCTCTAAATCTGCAACTATATAATAAAATCTGAACCGATATGAACAAAACTTAGCACGTTTTTTAACATGAATATAAGTACATTCTGCACCGAATCTTTTTTGAATAATTTTATTTAAAATCAGGAAAAATCACATACGATTGTTTAGTTTATATAGCAGCTATAGAATTAGTTGTTATCAAAACCTTCCATATAAAATTATCTGTACAAAATTTTATTTGAATAACTCAATGCACCTTGACTTGTTTGAATTGAGGCTGACAGGTGGACCATTTCCGGGTTAATCGAGATTGTATGTACCATATATACATTATGAACTCCACGACATTTCCTTCAATGTGTTACAAAAATCATGACAAACTTATTATACCCTTTCACTCTTTTTTGTGTGAAGGGTGAAAAACTGCAAAAGAATTATTGACAAAAAATAAGTTTGTATGGAATTTAACAACTTTCACACTTAAAACTTTAAGAGTTAACACAATATAAACCTCAACTGGTGTCGCGGCGTAGCTAGAAGCCAGTCAATTGATGAAGTTAAGGTTTTGAAGTTTTGTGGAGTACGAAAATAAATGCTGGAAAGAAGAAATTTCGCACTGTTAAAGAATTAGAAGATTTAAAAGAAATTATCTGGACTAGACAAAGATATGACGCAGTTTATTGGATATTGTGATGTCATCGATTTTCTTAAGCATGAATGTAAAGTGTACACTGAACTAACTATAGTACCAGTTCTCGAAACTTAAAGAATATAGCAGTAAAATGTGTTTTTAAAGTTTAGGGATTAAGACTAAATGTGTTTTAAGTACATTTTAAGGCACAAAAAATTTATGTAAACTGAGAAGTAACATCAAGAATTCACTGTATAGACGAGTATAAGAGTTGAAACAGACAGAACTAAATGACTGAAAACAAAATGTTGTACAATGATTTGGTATAAATGTGGTTGCCAATATATTCCAAATTTCAATAATATTTTATAATAATATCAGCAATAATTGAAATATGTTTCTAATATGGAATATATTCAGATTTTACTTCATTTTTACTTCATTACTATGATTATTTATCTGCTCATATTTCACACTAAGAAGATTCGCTAATCTTATTTTTCAGTTGAAGATCCATACCGTAGTTAACTTCGAAGTAACGTTAAGTTAGGATAAACTTCCTCACAACTATTCATAATTGTTCTCAATTATGTACTATAGTCAATAAAAGTGGCATGAAAGAAACAGGTAAAGTTGTGCCCATTTGAGTAACTTTTTGACTTAGATTACGCTTCATGACTCACGTATTAGAAAAAATCAAACTATAACTTTTACAAATATCTAAAAATATTAACGCGTTTATATGCTCAGAATAAATCTAAATAAACATTCTCTACCAACAACCAATGATAACCATTTATAACTGTATAATTAAGAATTTTGAGGAGTTTATATTCCCATCATATATCCTCATCATATTGAAAGTATGATAACTGAACACAGTTGAGTTAAAATCTACAATACCCAACTTTAAAGTGGTGACTATAGATTTTGAGAGGATTGCTTATAGCGGAATGTATAAATACACACTCATCTTAGTATCTTTAAACAAGCATTTTTAAACCGCTATTAACGGTGACCTTTACGTGTTTTCTGATCACATATAACCATTAATGGCAGACTTTTTGAGATTACCAAGCGAATTGGTATACTAAATGATTTTAGAAAAAGCAAATATGGATGGCTCGATCATACCGTAAAAAAAATTACGCATAATATAGCTCTTTCAACCTTAGAATGAACGACGTCTGGATCAAGGAGAAGAGTCTTCCTGGAGGCAAACAGTATTCACTGAAACATTTAAATTGTTTTACGCGTTTAGATACATAGCACGGGATAGAGACAACTGGAAGTCTTTTGTAGAAAAAAATTAAATTCTAATTGCATATACTTTTATAATATGTCAAAAGTAATAACAATACTCTGTGACTCTTAAAGCAGATAAGTTACCGAAAACTTTTGCCAAAAAGTGACTCTGCACCAGAGTCACAATCAAACTGGTACTACTCTGTTACTACCTTCTGCTCAAAAAGTATCCGGATTTTGTTGTTTGTTAACTACTCCTTAAGGAATAGACCTTTTTCAAACATTTTTTTTTGTTATATTGGTACACCCTTTCTTGATATGGTACAAATATGAGCGCCATCTGTCAATTAGTTTGTTTACAGTAGCTGTTAATGTGAGACTACTTCAAGTGCATTTAGCGATTTTTACTATGGAAAATTCTTGTTGTACGCGATTTTTTGACCAAACACTCAAACACGGCACCACAGTCATCGCTCAGGCACCATATTCGGCAGATCTGGGGCCGTGCGACTTTTTCCTGTTCCCGAAGCTCAAATTGCCCCTTAGTGGTAAGCGTTTTGGGTCGATTGAATCGGTAAAAGAGAAATTGCTTAAGGAACTAAAAGCCATACCTTCATGGAAGATTGGATTAAGCGTTGGCATATGTGTATCGCTTCAGAAGGAGCATATTTTGAAGGAGATAAAATAAATTTGGAATAAAATTTAAATTTGTGTGTTTTATTTACAAAATCCGAGTACTTTTTGAGGAGAAGGTATGATACCTAGGATTTGTCGTTTTAGAAAATTCGTGTAATTAATTATATCTAATTATAATCTATTAAGCTTGATGGGAATATGTACGTTTAGTCTAAAGCCGAAACACTCAAACTAATCTACCAATAATTGATATGGAGTTTAAGTATTGAAAACTATCGCTCGGTACAGCTACCAATGGTTTGGATTATATATCCGAATTAGCTTAAAATTAGCTATTATGCTTATTAGGTTATGTGTATTTGAAATTGTTTAAATCTATATATAGTTGATCCTTTTATGGTGCTGAACCCTTTAAAAAAATTTGACTATTAATAATATAGTTAACAAAACAAATCTTAAATATGATTTGAACAAAAACAACTCAATTTTCTGTTTGAAGAAGGATGAATCTAAATATTTTTTAAATAGTCGCATTTAAATTTAAGCTCAGCAAATTTACTTTAAACGCGATTTTAAGAAAAAAATCTCAAAATGCGAAAATCATTAGCAACATTAGGTGTTACATCGTTTTTGTGATGTCCTCTAGTTTTGACAGTGAACAGTTTCTTTGTGGAGAATAAACTATTTTCATGGTACATTGGTTGTCACGTTTATTATGCTGACTGCAAATCGTTTTACTCTTAAATAAAATTTTCCAACAACAATCAAGAGGAAAAATAAAATTACGGCAGGGGTGGGGTGTGAAAAAGTTTTAAACTATAGTCGAATGTGCAATTTACTCACCATCAAGTTTAATGTTACCATCGGTTTCGCCTAATGAATTTTTAGCAACGCATCGGTAAGTACCGAAATCTTTGGGTCCCACATTGCGTATTTTTAATTTCATATGCTTGGTGTAACCATTGGTAATTGAAGTGGTTTCGTATTTGTCACCAGCGCGAGCAGCATCTGAAAAAGGTTACAGACAATTAAAAAAAATGAATAAAAATAGTTCAAAAGTTCTGCTCAATTAAATTTCAAGCATCGAAGTGTTTTCACTAACCCAAATTGTTTGAGAAAGGAAACTATTGTACTTGCTACGATGGACATACGCTTCAAGATCTTGAAAGATAGCTTAATTTTAGTTTATTTGTCTCTTTAATTCTTAGTTTGTAATTTTTAGTTGTGAATCTTTAAGAGGTTCTAATTAACCTTTAACTTTCATCAAATTAAAGTTTACTTACGGAAAATTAAAACGTGTTGAAAAAAATATTTTATTTTTATGTTTACACTGAATTATGTATAACTTATTCCACTAATCGTTGTAGGACTTCAAAGACTATTATGCTATACAGATTTTACATATATCATTTATGAACCAAAATAGTGACAAGTATCGTGTGATTTGGTTCTATGAGTAAAACTCAAGTGATCTAATAATTTTAGAAAATGTTTTTTGCTGGTAAGCAGCAAAATGTCTCTGGTTGAATAGAGATTGACCTTCTCTTTATTGCCTATTATTATGTGGATTTGTGGACTCAAAACGGATTTCTTAGTTGATTGAGGAGGATTCGTTCCACCCTCCACCACAACTAACTAACTAACTAACTAGCAGTAAACCAGTTTTTTATGCAAAATGCACCATTAATATAGTCCAGTAAATATTAAATGTTTTATTAATATAGAAAACGTCTAGTTAACACTAACAATGTTTTTGTAAATAACATTAGGATAGTCTAAAATATTTCAAATTTGATTTTTTTTCTCTTAACACTGATATCATATTGAAATTTCATAGATGAGTGTTGGGCTATTAGTCAGATTATTTTGATTTGATTTTTTGATAAAAATTTTTATATTGTTTTATTTATTTAATGTATATTTCTGACGTTTCGGTTGTTTAAAACCGTTATCAGGGAAATATATAAAAATAATCAGGGACTGAAATTTCAATTAAAATTTATTTGTCTGCAGTATGTTTCAAGCTTGCATTTCAAAATTCAAGCTTTTAATCTTCAATTTTAGTTTTAGAAATAGTCAGGAACCGCATGGAGACAAACCAACTGAATGAGTTTGATGAACGAAAGGATGGATAACTCTTTAAGGCAAGCGTTTAATTTTGAACATGACGCAAGATAATCAAACTCTTCTAGCTCTTACTTTTCAATTTATTGTGAACAATATATCCTTATATCGTGTCTTACATATATATTAGGTTAGGTTAGGTAACCTAACCTACATATATATTACTTATATCTTATTTATATTTTATTTATATTTTATTTATATTTTATTTATTTATTTATTTATTACTTATATCTTATTTATATCTATACATATATATATACAATATATATATTATTTATATCTTATTTATATGTATATATATTATCTTGTCTTGTCTTGATTTTGCTCTTTTGCAATTGTAATATTTGGTCATATATATTTTTTGTCTCTTTCGATAAATTCAAAACAGAACTCTGATATTCTGTTTCCCGTCTTAATTACAATGGCTGAGATGCTTCAAGGATTTCTTCGCGACATTTTTAACATGTTTGGATTAGAGAGAAAATATATATATATATGTTAAATTAACTTTTTTAAATATTACAGGACAATAATTATAAAATTTTTTTATATTAAATTTTATATATAAAATTTAATATAAGTTTTTTAAAAATCATTTGAAAGCTGAAATAGAGTTTTTGTGCTTTTAGTTCTTTCTTTCTAATTTCCATATTATTCCAATTGTATTTGAGCTCTTTGTTCTTTGCTCTTTGGAACGATTTTCTACATTTATTGTATATTAAGTTTGTGAATTCGACGTAGTCTCCTTTTATTCTATAACCGAGAATATTTCTTTGTAATTATGAAATCTACAGTTTTTTAGTGTCCATTAAAATGTGTGCTGTTTAAAGCACACACAGGCTTTCTGAATCAACTTAAAATCTAAGTTCTGAATTGAATAACCTGTGCTCTTCTATATCACAGTTTGGTTTTTGATGAGTGTTGTAGACACACAAAGTGATCGTATCAGAAAATTCGTGAAGATTGAAAATGGTTTTAGTGGCGATGTTCAATCGTTATCTCACGATCTTTAAAAAATCAATCAAATTAATAGAAAACTAGTGGCGAAACATGCTATCATATATATGCATATATCAATTATTTTTTTATCCATTCTTATGATCGGGGTAGAGGAAAAAGATAGAAAACCAACTCCAATGGGCAACCAACACTTTCTCAATCTAAAATGCTTTTAGGAACTTACAACTTAAAACGCTTCAAATATTGCATAGAAGAATAATAAAATAACCTATGACATATTACGGGATTATTGACTAGTCACTGTAGATTGAATAACCACCTAACGAAATTAGGAATTCAATCCAACTCAGACTGCAGATACTGTAGAAAAGAGAGAGGAACGGTTGGGGAGTGCGCGGCACTGATGCACAAGCGGAAGAACACCTAGGAGGGTTTTTCATAAATCTTTATGTCTATCATTAAAGAAATTGGATTCAGAGAAACATTCTAATCCGACTATGAAGCACAATAGATCTCTTAGTTCGCAGTGCACAACCCCTTTTCACAATAATAATAATCATAATATTAGTACGTTATTCATCTATCATCTTTTATTATTCATCTATCATCTTTTATTATTCATCTATCATCTTTATATAAGATTTTTCATGACATTTAAACTGTATTTATCTTTTGCTAATAATAAATCTAACAAAATATTTTCTGGTTATTTTATTAAATTTAGTATAATCACTTTTAGCATTCTGGTATTAATTTACTTATTTGCTAATATATTATTTTCAGTAACATGCGTTTGGAGTGATTAAACACTGTGATGTACCGAAATATCTACACATATGTGCAAATGTTAAATAAATACTCTTAGACGTAAATAAATAAATTTCATTAACAAAAACTTTTGATTATTTGAGCCAAAATGCTTATATATATGAGTACTAGAGTACGTATAGGCGTTCAGAACTTCTGCCACTTAACTTTATTATTCCATTCGTTCTTATAAAAAATTAATTTAATTTCCGTATTAGAAGTGATACCATAAAAAATTGAATAAAACTTTATTTACACACAAAATCTAGCAAAAGAAAATCGATTAATTAATGTCACACTCACAATCGGTGAAGTAAAAAAGTAATTCCGATTGCAAGTCGCACGACATAAGAGTAAGTATGGTTAATTAAAACTGTTCCCATTTGAATTTTTGCTTTAATTGTTTGAGCAAGAATAGAGAACTTTTCTCATTAATCAGAGTAGAAACTTCAACAAAAGAATGAATCCAATGCGACACAAGTCCATTAAAAAAGTACCGGCAGAAAAAAAAAGCCAAGAACAAAAAGAACCAAATACGGAAATAGAAAGTAAAACTTTTTCGACGTTTCGAATAAAAAATATTTTTTTCTGTCAATATATCACTGCATTACTAAAGTGCCAATATTAGTATTTATACGTAAACTAAATTAATACATATATTAATAACCACATTACTCAACCAAATTAGTAAAATCGAATATCTAACCATAGATATGCATATGTATATCGGGTTTTTACATATACCTATATAATATCATAAATCTGTTTCAAACTCCATCAAGGCGCAACCTGCAAATCTTCTACATATATAATAGTCATCTGATTTGAAATGCAAGTCTACACGAAGAATATACCATGTGGTCTTGTAAGAAAGTCCAATGCTGTTAGGAATGATAACATATATTTTATGTTTGTTTTTCATCTTTTTTGAATAAAAAAAATTCATTCCTTCTAGCTAAGGTCAAAATGTCTTCCGTTAGGGATTTCTTAATATCAGAAGACGATAAGAGTTCACATTTAGATTTATTACGAGTGTAGAATGATGATAATGTACATAGTAAAGGCATTCTGGTAATAATCAAAAATCACAGTATGTTTACCACATATATATTTATAAATAATAGACTTTTCCACAAAATAATGGATTTGTTTGATTTTGAAGTTTGGTTTTAATTTGAAGTTTGGTTATTAAGAAGATGCTCACAAGAGGTCAAGAATGGACTGAAATGAGGATAAGACCTCCATACAAACCTCAATGTGTAAGCTATTTAAGAGCATACATACATTTATGGACAAACCACTTAAATTGAGATGTTGCTAGAGCCTGTGAAGAACACATAATATCTTAAGTTCTAGTAAACCAACAGTTTATATCTTGCTTCCGCCTGATAATCACAATGAACAGTAGATACCTTCGAATAAAAATGTTGAACAAAAATTTGGAAGATTAGGTTAACAGCTGTGACATATTTAGTGTCAATATGTTAATAGGTTAACAGCCGTGACATATTGACACTAAATATGTCACGGCTGTTAACCTAATCTTCCAAATTTTTGTTCATCGTTATATTATCTCTTCAAATAAAATTTTGTGGCAGCAGTCCAATTCAATTTTTGATCATAACATGGTGGTCATATCTTATAAAATCTATATAAGCACAGGTTAGCCATTATGTGGTTTCATAAGTAAATGTAATTGAAAGATTGAAATTCTCATGATTGAAATTTTCATCAAATTTTTATATATCAATATATTATTATTTATTAATTTTTATATATATTATGTTCGGTAGCTATTTTATAAGATAATTTTATAAAATAATCTTTATGATAACTTTTTATATAATAATCCTGTGAATTAGTTTACAGGATGGTGTTATCTCATCGCTCTTTAATATTTTCTACGCGGATATGTGCATGTGTTCTACTCAAATCTATTCAAATAATCTAGAGACATTAGTAGACGCACAATTTAATATTTTCCAAGTTATTATCGATATATAACCTTATCTGCGTGAACAAGTGTTTAAAAATATTATTTTGAGGTCCCGATTCCATTGATTGAAGCAGGGCGCCGCAAATGTGACAGAAATCATATTTAAACACTAATGGCG